GTCTTCAATGCACTGGATCTAATGGACAATAATACATTCCTGGAGGATCTGAAGTTTGGCATCGGTGACGGCAACCTTTACTATTATCTCTACAATTGGCGCTGTCCTTCGGTGACTCCGGAGCAGGTAAGGACAGTCACTTCGCGCTCTATCCCCTTACAGACATTTTCATGTGTCGCCATGGCTGTGTAGCGCATTAACTGACCACTTACTAATAACGGACTCTGGCATGCAAAGCATGAACGCAGCTTAAAGACACTTGCTGCAAGATGCAGACCAACCACTGAGTGCCTGAGTTCGTACTCTACAGTAGATTTCCTAATGCGTAAAATCTCGTGAACTTCATGAGAAAATCCCCGCTACGTAAAATCAGCCCACAACGTGTCCTCCAAAGTCTTATAACAGTAAAGAGACAAGCTTTCTTAAAAAAGAAGGCATAGATTGGCTTATACATAGTACGTTGTTTAGAAATATCAAGTTCTTTAAGAAAGTGGAAAGTTCCAAGAACCCGAAAAATCGCTGTAACTGAGTACGTTTTAAATGTACACAAAGCCCATCCGCGCGAAGAAGAAAGAGTAAATCAATCAGGACAAGGAGAATTATGTTTGAACTTAGTATTTTAGGGCAGTCTTCCCTTAACTATCCTTCAGTACTAAATGCGCCTTATAGGATTGCCGCTGAAAAGGAGTCTATAGTTCAAGTATAGATTCCAAAACGTTCTTACAAGAACTGACTGTTTTTTCTGTCTTTTTTCCACTGTGAAAGGTGTGTTTGGCTAAAACAACCAGGTTTTCGCTTAATTGCGCCAACAGCGACGTCACCAAATATACTTTTCCTGAGCACACCTGTTGAATGGCCGGCCAGTGACTAATAAATTTAAATAGAATTGTCAGGAAAAATTGTAAACATACCACCTTTTTGTACATTAACATAAATATTTTCGTCAAATTTTCTTTATAGACATTTCTAGCATTGTCCTCGCAATAGTGGTGAATAATACACGATTTTCAGCGTTCAGTCGATTGCCCATAAGTTTCGCTTTTACCCTGTGTATTTATCAAACTCTTCAAAATAACATTTCTTAAAAGCATTTTCCAAAGAAGCGAGTTCTTGAACATCCTTTCTAATGCAGATATCCGTTCGGGTCATATTTGTAGACCCACCCAAACACGAAATCTCACCGTCGAGAAAAGTGAACGTCCGCACCAAAAGTTGGCAGTAAACATGCCTTAAACCAATTTAACAGCTTTTTCGAATAAGCAACCTCTTTAAAAGAGCCCCTTACTTAGGTATTTCGCCGAAAACAAAGTAAAAAATTTGGAACATTTGACCGTTTTTCTTTGGCTGCAAATGAAAGAATTCACTTTTATTTTTATACGAGAAACTTTCGCTACATTTGCTTGCTTTTAGGCTACGTTCTCAGACTGCACGACAGCGTGGGCGTTCCGTTTCTAAATTACGCATTAGCGAAAACTAGATCCTACGAAAAGTGTCTTAGCACATGCTTCAAATGTAACATAACCTTTAATGCGCGTCTATCCATAGAAATATATAAGAGTAAATTAAAGAACCAGAAAAGGAGTCCGTAGGTTTAAACGAAGGATTGCCAGTACACGTCAGCCCTGCATTTTAGGCCATCAAACCACACGTATTTTCAAGTCCGAATTGTTTAAATAGATAGAACCTC